CCTACTAAATCTCGATAGTTAACAAGACCCTCATCACGACCTATGATGAGCTAACTGACCGATAACTTCATTTTGATCTTTCAATCACGGACCAAAATATTTAAGTAAAAATTATTATAATACACTTATCATACCTATATAAGTGGATAATACTGATTGTCCAATTCCAATGTAGGACTAACGAGATATTACATTGTCTTAAATATGCTAACTCCCTTAATTGGAAATATCGTTAACTTGGTTTTTGCAAGACACACTCCGTCAAGCTCAATCAGCTCTCGATATTAAGCTTGCAACTCTGAGTATTTGACACTTAGCAAATGTAATATTCGCTTTTTGATTCTTAATCAAGATAGGAACATTGAACTAATAGAGATTTGCTTTGATTATTTTACTTAGATAAGGATCTTTCAATGAAAATGATGGATCAGTTTTTTTTTTTTTTAATAATCCAACTTTCACTACTAGAAATTTCAAATATTAAAACTGATTTTATACAAAAGTTAGATTTTCTATTTAGTCCCAATATATAGTATTAAATTATAATTTACAGATATTAAATGAGATCATTCATGTTTTTTTTTATTTTTTATTCATATCTACATAAAATAAGCTAAAATTTAATTCTGATTTTTTTTTTACTTGGTGTAAGATATAACTAATGAATAGTAGGGGTCAAATTTTTTTAAGAATAATGGACCTTAAATTTCATATATTAGAAGTTCAATTTTTTAGTTAATTATGAATTACAATTCATATTTAGTCGTGATAACTTATGTTCTTATTGTTTGACTCATTAAGGACTTAAATTCAACCTTGGTCTAATTCTTGAGCATGTCATATGAAAATTACATCAAGGATTCAAAAACTATGAAGTGTGTTTTTTTTTTATAGGGTTAAGGATGCATGTGTGGGCCCTTTTATTGTGTATCAAGAAATTATTATACTAAAATAAGAATTAACTTAGGGAACAATTGAGAGTTTTAATGACAATATTTGATCATATCATTCAATATATAAATTAATTTAAATAGATTCATTGAGAGTAAAAAAAATATTACATTAAAATTTTCATGATAATAAATAAATTTTTACATAACAATAACACATTTGGTCAACTCAACTCCTTTTGCCTTAATTATATATCAAGTGAATCCCCTTGCAATGGGGAGGGGAATTACAATGAGAAAGATTAAATCAATTCCAAATTCCAATAATGAAATCAATATGCTTAATTTATATTTCGAAGCCAAATATTTCTTGTTTAAGTAAATATTCACAAATTTTATGATAAAAGTTTTAAAGAAATTGATGGTTTCGTGTGAAGGATGGAAATTGTAATGTTTCTTTCTACAATCCCTATTGCCATCTCATAAATGAGAAGGAAAGAGAGATATTAATTTCTTTAATTACAAAAGAAAACAAAACTATTCAAACTCTGTGGCAATCCATTAAAGAATATTAAAGTCGAACTATACGATATATTTTTATAAATAAAAATGAATATAACTTATGAAATAATTAAATATAACTATAGAATTATCCTAATTACAATACTTTACACCCATCCAAGGATTTGGAGTGCCAATGGAACTCGGTAATTCGGGTTCGGAGCTTTTCATGCGGATCCGATAAGCTATGAGGCCGATAATTAGCCGTTAATATACAGTTATCGGGTTCGGATCATGCGCTAAATCCGATTGGTATTCGATCCGATAATCCGCTGCGTCATCATCCTATAAATATGATACGATCCCCTCCGCAAACCCTTAGAGCAGTAGGGTTTTCTCTTCCTCTTCATTCCCAGTGCCGATCGATTTGCTCCCACAAAAGGGGGGCTCTTTTACTTGGCCCCAATTGCCCTTTCGCTGCTGCCGTCGCTCCTCCCCTTCTCGCCCTTAACATGTCTTTCTACCGCCACCTCCTCCTCCTCCGCTCCCTCCGCGCGGCCCCCGACCGCTGCCGTCCCCTGCTGTTCGGCGCCCTCTCCGCTCCCTCCCGCCCCTTCGCCTTCTCCTCCGCCGAGGAGGCGGCGGCCGAGCGTCGCCGCCGCAAGCGCCGCCTCCGCATCGAGCCCCCCCTCCACGCCCTCCGCCGCGACCCCAACGCCCCGCGCCCCCCGCGCGACCCCAACGCCCCTCGCCTCCCGGACTCCACCTCCGCCCTCGTCGGCCCCCGCCTCAATCTTCACAACCGCGTCCAGTCCCTCATCCGCGCCGGCGACCTCGACGCGGCGTCCTCCACCGCCCGCCACGCCGTCTTCTCCTCAGTTCGCCCCACCGTCTTCACCTGCAATGCTATCACCGCCTCCATGCTTCGCGCCGGTCGCCTTGATGATGTCGTCGCCCTCTTTTCCTTCTTCTTCAATCAGTCCAACATCGTCCCTAACGTTGTCTCCTATAACATCCTCATCAACGCCCACTGCAACGCTGGCCGCGTCGACGTCGCCCTCGACGTCTACCGCCACGTCCTCGACAACGCCCCCTTTTCCCCCTCCTACGTCACCTATCGCCACCTCACCAAGGGCCTCGTCGATGCGGACCGTATCCAGGAAGCTATCGACCTACTCCGTGAGATGCTCAACCGCGGCCACGGCGCCGACTCCATCGTCTACAACACCCTCATGGCTGGCTTTATCGACCGTGGGAACATGGAGAAGGCCCTGGAGCTCTTTGATGAGCTCCGTGAGCGCTGCCTGGTCTACGATGGGGTCGTGCACTCGACCCTGATGGAGGCTTACTTCAAGCGTGGGATGGACAAAGAGGCGATGGAGTCGTACCAGTCGCTGCTTGACCGACAGTTCAAGATGACCCCCGTCACCTGCAACACCCTCATCGAGACTTTGCTGAAGCACGATAAGTTGGCCGAGGCCAATAAGATGTTTGAGAATATGCTCGAGAACCACACACCACCCAGCTTCACGGCTATCAACACAGACACTTATAATTTGATGGTGAATCAACGTTTCAAGGAAGGGAAGATCTTGGAAGCCATCGAGGTATTCCACCGGCAGCCCAAGAAACCATGCATAATGGACGTCAGCTGCTTCAATAACATCATTGGGAAGCTCTGTGAGAACGGATTGCTTTCTGAGGCAGAAAAGCTGTTCGAAGAAATGCCTGAAAAGTCAGTCAATCCGGATGCAACCACTTATCAGTTTCTGGTCGATGCATGCTTCAGGGAAGGGAGGACAGACGATGCATTGGAGTACTTCAAGAAGACAATCGAGAGTAGTGGGGGAAGCCCTGGCTTTAGGGTTGTTGTGGGATTCTACAACATGATGTTTGAGGGATTGGTGAAGGCAGGGAGGACCAATCAAGCATTGGAGACTTTTGGGAAGATGTGGGAGAGGGGGCTTAAACCAAATAGAACAAGTTATGAGGTTTTGGTTACTCAACTGTGCAAAGAAGGAAACTTGGATGGAGGACGAGAGTTGTTGGAACAGATGCTAAGAAGCCAGATAAATGCTTCCCCTGAATTCACTGCATTTGTGTTTGATACTTTTGGCAATGCAGGACGCAGTCAGGAGATACAAGGGCTGTTTGCTGGGAACTCAGGCAATGTTGCTTCTCAAACAGAACAGGTAGCAGTTATGAACTAGACAGCTTATACCACTCAAAACTTCTCTTCTTGTCCACAGAAGAATTGGCTTCTAAATTTTTCAGAAAGTTATCGTTATGGAAGTGCTTCTACGTGGATTCTTCTGCTATTTTGTTAAAGATAAGTCATGAGGGTAGTTATTCTCTCAGGAGCTAGAGTGTAAGGATCTGCATGGTAGGAACTGTTGTACTATGGTGGTGATCTTTGCGTTGACCTGCTCTGGGTTACTTAATGTTCAGTTAAGATGATCTGTTTAATGGTGATCATTTCTAAAAGCTGCTATATATTATCTGATAAACTCTGTACTTTTTAGCAACATGGCATGCCTATTTGTCCTTTGCAAACTTCTAAATATTTTGCTATTGAACTAAGTGCATTATGTCGTTGTCCTTTTGCTATAATAGTTATGCATTGGCAAAATTTCAGATGAAGTGTGTTCTCGTTCTTTTTTTTTCTTTTGTGATTTGAATTTAACGCATGTGGTATTATTATATTTGGATGTATAAATTTGAAGAGAAGCTTGTTAATAGGACTTGTTTATGTTATCTCAGCATGGTTATGGGCAAGTTTTTGTCATGAATCATTTGAACTGAAGGTCTAATCTTTCTGTCCTTCCCATGTGCTTTATGTAGAATATTTTGTTATTTTGGTTGATTTGCTGTATTATCATTAAATGATATGCTTATGGAAGCCTTACCTTAACATGTATCTTCTAGTTAGCTCTGTGATCGTGCCTACATGCTCTAAACCTACTTTCATGGTAAAAACATGTGCAATGCCTATAATCATATTTTGGCTTAGAATCATGAATTGTGATGTGGGCTATAGTCAGTGTGGGGATGAGTTCTGTATCCAGATGGTTCCTTGTCCATGTCCAAAAGAGTTGCCTGTGAGCTGTGGCATACCATTTATGTGATTCTACATTTATCATGAATTAGGATGTGTCAATGGGAGCAGTTGATGCTTGTAGAGTCATACCTGTCATTTGATTTGGATAGATATTATCTAGTGAATGTAGCTTTATGGAGATAGTAATTAAAATGCTTAAATAAATTTTGAGAAAGCATGATGTGCACATAGGAAGCTATTGGTTTATTGGTTCACTAAGATTTTAGACACACTCATCTCATCTGTATTTAGCTATAATTTATTGATGAGGGACATGTTCCTTTTGAACTGATTTTGGTCGCTCCGTTAATGTTTAAATGTAACTATGTAAGATTTAATGTAGTTCGATTCTTCCATACTTTTTGTGGTCAAGTTAGTATGCATTGGTTTCCGTACCTTGTTTTATTCTTTTTACCTGATATAGATTGGATATTTTAATTGGTAAAATGACTTGTCATGGTGTTTTTGAGAAATATGAACATCTATACTTTGTGGTAGATTTTTTAAATATTATGGATATTTTATTTTTTTGATTAGTACAGAAAAGCTTTCTGGATGTGCCTTGAAAGTGTAGTTTGATCAATTGCTAAGTAGGTCAAATTCATACCATCCTGAGTTTTTTTAATTATGATGTCCGAGTATGAAGTTCCAAGTTCGGCTTTTGGTACGTTAGCTTGGACTAACCTAGCTATAGGTTGAAAACCCTTTATTTGTGGTGTTTGGTTCAGTGTTGGGGCTTTCTCAAAATAAACTCAAACATGGACCTTTAAGTAGTGTTTGGAGGAGGGTCACGGAGAAAAATTATAAAGTGGATTAATGGATTCACATATACTTTTTTCTTAACGAGATCTGAATATGAAATTTAAAATTTGAGTTTTGATATGTTATTTTTTATCACTCCTAACTCTAGGTTGAAATGTTTGGTTCAGTGTCACAACTTTTTTAAAATTAGACATCAACAAGGACCTTTGTGTAATGTTTGGTTCAAGGTTACAAAGAAGATTAAATCAGTAATTAGAGGTTATGGTAGTTTTAGGGGTAAACAACAATATAAACCTGGAGGCAAGTGCAAGCGACCATATATAGACATATCCAAGTATCCAACTAGGCAAGAGCAAGAGAAATAAGTTAGGATATCTTTATAAATAAATACATGTTCCATGTGAAAGATGATTATTAAACATTCATAAGTTATGAAAACGATAATTACTATTTCCATCTAGAAAAAAAATTTGTGGATGTTGACTCATAAATGATTAGCCATACTTGGCAGAAGTTAAAAATACATTAGTTATATTTTTTTTTATGGAAAAGAGATGTTCTCCATCAGACTAATTCTCTCTGAGATGCAACAGTAGCAGATGCATTGTGTTGCTTCCTCTTCTTTTTAGTGCCTTGTTGTCACGGACAAACTTTGAAACAGGATGTTTGATGTAATGCTTATATTTGTCCATGTCTGTTGGCATGTTCATGCCTTGTAAAACATGTAGAGGGGCAGCCGAAGGCTTATAAGTCCCATTTTAGTTGGGTTGGTGGCCTCTTTAGGCTTGTAAATAAAGGTTGTGTCATGTGGACACGTGCGAGAGCTTTTCGGTCTGTAATGGACCATTTTACCCTTTGTTGTGCCACTGTTCAGAGCTTGTAAAGTCTGTTTGTAATTTGCATTGTCTATGAAGTGTTTTTCGGACATGTTTGCTTGTGGATCCCAATTGAGGCGTTCTCTTTTGCCTGTTCTCTCTTTTGTTGGTCCTAAGGGACAATGGGAGTCTTCGGGGAGACTGACCTTTGCGGACGGACACGCAAGGGTGCCGCACGACTTAGGCAAAACCAGCTAAGTCCGTGTCATATGGTATCAGAGCGGGACAAGCACTCATAGAAACACTTAGCATGCAAACGTGGGGGACCTAGCGGGGCTGCATTGAGGGCAGTCAGCACACGCGCGACCGTTTGGGGGAAAACGGGCATGGAGATGTAGGGAAAAGAGTCGCTCAGAGGAGCGGGCATCTGACATTGGCATTCAGAGGAATGGCCAACCCTTCGCGCAAGAGGCACCACGAGAACAGGCAAGCTTGGAAGAATTTGGAGCGCACAAAGGTTGGGATGGCTGAGTTTGAGCTACGGCTCAACGTTGACAACTATACTTGATGGTGCTCTAGGCAAGCGAGGCGCTTGGCAAGAATGAGACCATGCAAGGTGGAATGAGTTGCTCAACGACCAAAAGAGTTATGCAAAGCTCACAGAGGTGAGGGGAATTGCTAACTCGAAGAATTTGGTACTCATGCATGGGCTTGTATGCGGACGACGGAATGTTCGTGGCCATCCCAAGGCGGCCGAGACTCGGCGCCATGGAGCATTGAAACTTTCTCTTCGGCATGTGAAGGATACGTCCGTGGGAGATTGAAATGTGCAACGAG